GCCTACAAAGGTGTGAAGTCATGTGAATTAGCAGACTGGGAGATGATTGAAGAAGTGAGATGAGAGCACCTACCCAATCATTAGCCCAGGTACGAATTCGGGCGTGGTTAAGCAACATGCATTGCCCAGGGTCCTTCGGATTCAAAACAAAGGTGACGTTTTCACCCGCTTTGAAATCCTTTTCAAAGCGGGACAACAACAGATTGTTTTTACGTTCCCCCTCGCTTAAAATGACAGACTGGAACGTAAAATCATTATATAAGCCAAAACCTATTGATTCGGAAAAAAGGAGAGGTGAAGTGCGGAAAGAAACGGAGTGATGACTTACACCAACAGAGCGCTCCGATAACGGATTGTCCTCGGATGAGGCCACCGGGGCATTGGCTTTACGTAATTCGGCCATCATACGACTAGCGTTGGAAGTTACCTTGGGGTTCTCGTGGTGTATTTTGAAGCCCATTGGCGTTGAAGCGGGAACAAGCTGAGCATGAGTCATGAATTCATCTAGAGAGGCTTGATCGTCAACAAGCATCTTCTGGGCCTTATGTTGGCGAGTCGCATTGATAAATCCCTGAATGTCGATGGTCTTTTCAAACCATTCCTTCTTAAGGGCCTCGGATACCCAGGAGTGCTTCTTGTCGCAGGATTTGAAGAGCTGGTGCTTGAAAAGGACAAAAGAAATGGTAGTTGGGCTGATAATTGTGAGCTTAGTGGGGACCTTCGGGTTGATATTTTGGTACTTGGGAACCGGGGTCTTGACTGGCTTCTTAGCTCGAGATGTAGCGGTAGTCTTCTTACGCTTGACGGGCGTTTCAGGAACTATAAGTTGCCAAATATTGAAAGTAACTTGGAATGATCGTTCTTGTTCAGCGGGCAAATCGGCAGGGGGTGAGTCATCAGGATCGCTTTCATCCTCATCTTCGTTAACGTTGGGTTGACCTGGCGCATCAAACACATCCAGTGGAAGATCTATTTTGTATGGTCAGCAACACCGGACAAGAAAGTCACCCTTTGATATCAAAGGGCAAAAAGAATAACAGAAGTCATGGGACTTACCATCCTCGTCATTTTCAATGACGTCGAGTTCAGTTGCGGGCCGTTTGTTCAGACTGGTGTGGGTACTAGTACCCAGGAAGGCCGAGATGGAAAAGGACGAAGTTCCCACAGACGAATAGATCAACGGGTTGATGTGTGGGTTCACCGGAGAAGCCGAAGACAGCTGTGACTGGGTTGGGGGAGCAGAGGCACGGTTCACAAAGGGAATTGACGGAGTCTGGTGATCAAAACCCTTGACAGGTGACGCAATCGGGCTTAAGCGCAGGGTCAACGCTTGCAAAGGTGACCTACCACATGAGTCTGACAGTCAGTATTGAATCAACGGTCAGAGGCAGAAATAAACTTACAAATTGCTACCATTGCTTTGGGCTATCATCGCTTGGTAGCTGCAAGTGCGAATGGCCCAAGATGTAGTCTCGAATCTGCCATCAGACGGCCTATGGGAGTCAATGTTCGAAGAAAAATCAGGAGAAGCCATTCGAAGATATGAAAAGAGACCAGAAAAGATCGAAGATATGAAAAGAGACCAGAAAAGATAGGACGTACAGAGGAATATTCGACAGCTTTCTGTTGACCATAGCACGAGAATGCAAGACAGAGATATTGATGGATAAGTTGGTGAACTGCTTGTTTCTGGAAAGAGGAAACTCGAGTGCGAGGGAGGGAAAGGATGAGTGGTAGGCCGTCATTTTATCCGAGTACGCCATCTGGCCAGGTTGTGGTTGAGGAAAACGACGAGGAAATCGAATCAATATGGAAGGAAATCGAATAGATACGGAGGCTGGCCGGTGAGGTTAGTGGATGAATTGTCCTGTGGGGGGGAAAGGCATTCGGTATGGAAGCTAGCTCGATGTGGAGCTTTGCAATTGTATGGAGGACCAAACAATTGCAGGCCGACCGGTGTTAGATTGTTTGGTCTTGACTCTTGAGGTTGATATCTGATTTGATATGCTGGTGAGGGTTCGCGGTTGGATGGGTGATTGAACTGCTCACCCAAACATCGCCAAACAACCCCGTAGCCCGGTACAGGATGCCAATTCCGAAGTGCTCGGATATCCAAATCCCGTGTCCATTACAGCTGGGCTGCGGTCCGCAGCGGCTGTATTTGGGGGGGAAATCGTTTGAAATTCGTGCCACCATGACACGAATTTCTTGAACAGCTGTAATACTAAATTTGATACGTGATAATTGAACAACTAATTTGTATACTGACTTTCACACAGTAACTTGAAGTTCTTGACCGTACACTTATCACTTGAAGAAAATTAAATCCAACAATAAGCCAGAATGGCTAGCATTGCTTTGTCTTCCAATTGTCGACGCTTGCATAAGCTTAACTAAGCCCCTCTCGCGCGGCTGCGTCCGCGCCCCTCGAAGAGGGGCTTACAACGGACTCGTACTTTTCGGCAGGAGAGCTCCAAGAATTAAGTCCCTTTATGTTGTTTTTTGGACTTCTCCTCAAATCCTCACCGTAGAAATTTGTGAGCTGCTGGTATGTTTTTCTTCATGCCTTTGTACATTTGCTGGCACAAGTTTCATGGGTA